CCCCCCGCTTTCAAGATAAATGGATCTCGTGCGGTAATCAGCTCGAAGCGCCGCATTTATCCGATGGCGATCGATCGAGCGCGGCCCCGATGCACGATTCCTCGGGTGCACTCCCGGAGATATTGGTCCCGTCGCGACCTTGACGGTCGATTTTTAGATCGTCTTGAGAGCGAACGGCCTTTACGGCTCTATACGCGCGTCCTCGCGTCCGATATTCAATTTGCCGGATACGAATCGGTCTCGAAGGACTCGCGACATATCGATCACGTAACGCGCGACGCGCGTTACTCCACCACCGATCGCTCACCGGCGCATCTGCTGGGTGCAAGTGTGTGTGTGTGTGTGCACATTGAGCGCGCCCTGTCGATTCGCGTGACACACGGCTCTCCCGAGGAGGAGTCGATCGAGTTTTTCGACAGGCCGCTCCTGGAAATATCGTATCGCGCCTTGCATTTTCCCGTTAATTACGCGAAACGGTCCGTGCGTGTCCGTCGCGTCCGCACGACGACGAGGCGGCACGCGTGCAGCCGCATCGCGTGGTGCATCGGGATGATGCGCGCGCGAAAGAGAGAGAGAGAGAAAGTCCTGTTTTGCCTGCACGCGGGAGAGACCGGTCGCGAGCTGCCGAGTATATCGATTTCTGCGGGGCGAAGAGGTGTCGGAAGATCGTCCCGCACGAGGCTCGCTAGCCGGTTAGGAACGGGTTTGCAGGGCCGTAACGTATGGTTGCTGCCACCCTTACGATGACCTTGACCTACGGGGTTCCTGCCGCGCCGGCGTCACGTCCTCCCGTCACGTGGCGTCCCCGGTCTCACCCGAGTTCCTCGCGCGCGGGTCATCTCGTTCTGAGGCACATCCGACTCCGATGTATCTGCAATACGATCATCCGCCGAGGACACCGTCGGCTGTGGTGACCGACGGGCCGGGAAATCACGCAGCGGACGTCGATGAATCGATCGCAAGGAAAGTTCTTCGGATTTCCCGTGAACACGCCGGCGAAACGTCCCGCCGATTCTTCCGCGCCGTTCCACGATCTCGCTTCGCGATGTCGCACTTCCATACTTCCCTTCCGTTCCTCATGCGTGCGGAGCTCTTCTATCCGCAATCGCACGCGCTCGGCGATATTAATATTAATGACGCCATTCAAGATACGTCCTGACGGCTGCGTTATTCCATATTTTCGCCGCGACGCGTCCCGGGCTTTTCTCTCGTGACGTAATCAATCACATCTGTCCGTCTCTCGACTATGCGCGCATCGCACACGCGCGCACATCCTTCACTTCTTTTTTCCCTGCGAGAGGCTACAGCGTGTTCTGTTATACCATTTGTATTTCCCCTCGCGCGTCTCGCTTCTCCGCTTTTTCGCGTAATTTTTTGCCGAAAAACGCATCTAGAAACGCGGAAGCAAGCGAAATTACATTTGCCTTTTGCGCTATACTCGACAGTTTCGTATCATCAAAGTGCGAAGCTCTCGGGCTCGCGTCAGAAGCGCCGAAGATGCCGTCGAAGGTGCTCCGAAACAATTCCGGAGGCCTCGACGTTTTCCCAGCCAGTGACGGTCTCGTCGATAACTTGTTCGAAACTTGCCAGTTCATCCGTCTGTATCGTTTGTGCTTCTTATGTCGATAAACCCACCTCCCTCGCTTCTTCGCTCCGGCTCATTTTTACCATTCATCAACACTTTTTATACGACGTTCCGTCTTTCATTCCGTACATTTCGGCCTGGCAGGTCCATATTTTCGCGTTCAGCTTGCGCCGGCCGAAGACACACTGTCGTTTCTGCTTCTTATTCTCGAAATTTCCATTAAGTTTGGTTTAACGTGTCCCTCTTCATTTTTCTCGACGTCGCGTCTCGATGCGGGCGCCTCTTTGAGTTCGAATGGATATACTCGATATGTAACTTGCTTTACGACGACGTGACAGCAATGAATCATCGGCAAAGTTCCCGGGTGATTATCGGAAAGTGCATTTATTATCCTTAATCATAGGAAATCTAGATAAATATGTCGTCCTCGTCTCACAGATATACGCCAGAGTGCGACAATGTATGCCGATATATCATTCTATTTGTTTTCATCTGTTAGAGAACAAATACAATTAGTTTAATTGGCGAAATTTAATTGAATGAGAGAGAGAGGGAGGGGAAGAGACCGCGCAACAGCTGCCATAGATTAACAATCAATCAAATTGGTTAAACCACACACCGGTAACGAAAAGGACGGCGGACTCGGCCGGCATTGGGGTAGAAAACTGGATTAGTTGTACCTCCGCGTTCAGTTGAAATTTCGATGCTGCAGAGACACGAGGCAAGAACTTTTACCTTTCAGTAATGGAAACGCGTCTCGAGGAAATTTATTATTTCAGCATAATTACTTTTTCCCTCGTCGGATCTTTTTCACTCCAATTTGAACGGAATAAAATAGCCCGCGACACGATTACGGTAGAAAATCGGGCTCGCTCGCGAGAACCTCCGCGAAAAGTCCATCTTGAAATATTTCGAGTCGCGAGTCCACCTGCCGGCTCATCGTGTCCCGCGCCGATAACAGATCCGCCACTCTCACCCTCGACCAGCACAGCGAAAACAACCCCTCCCGCGCCTTTCCACCTGGCTTTCCCACCCCTTCCCTACGAGGCTACTGGACTGGCAACCCCCGCGAGGCGAAGCACACGGTCCTGCCGCGCGCGCCGTTGGATCCAGTCGCAGTTCGAACCTCGAGCAGACCGATCGTGAGCCCGATCGTAATCCTGGACCAAATAAACCGACGCCTCGGAGGATCGTGCCAGGATCTTCTGCCATGCGATCAGGAGCATGCAGGTAGGATCCTCGCCGACGGGTCGACTGATCGCGTGCGTCTTTATCGTCGTGATTCGTGAGACTCGAGAGAACTCACGTTTATCGGCAGCTCCACTTCAACCCCGAAGTGACGATTCACGCAATAGCATACGGAAAACATTCTTTTCCGACTCTTTGGGCAATTGATTGTCAGGCACGAGATCGAAGGCAGCCAGTGAGTTATTCCTCCATGTGACCGATATATTCAGTGGAGTCGTTTAGTGCGGATATCGTGGCTTAGAATTCCATGGACTGCTCTCGGGATATAAAAATGATGAATGTAGATCGTGCTCGACGTTGCGTTAACGTAGACACCACGGGTAGCAACTTGCCCCGTAATAGTCTGGTGATTATAGCGACCTTTGCCGAAAGTCCGTCGTACGAGAAGCATACAGGTGGGTCGGGAGATCATCTCGGATCGGTCGGTAGACATTTGTTGTCACGTCGTAGATAGTCGACGTTACCGGAGACACATCGACGATAGACGTGCTGGAATTGGCGTGTTTTTAATACGCGCTACCTCGCGCACTTGTATGCTACACGCGTATTTCTCGAGTCGATCGCGTTTAACCGCGAGTTCGTTTTCTTCAATGTGCGTCGCTCGTTACTCGACTTTCACGACGCCCGTGATGTTTATTTTTTAACATGATTTTGTGACGTAGTTCATCTTTCCACATTTACGACGCATCTTACGACGATCTTCGTGCGCTGAAGTGAATTGCACACGGATGGCCGCAATGAGAGAGAACTTGTTGGATTTAGTTTACGAGCGGGTCTGAAGCGACCGCTGAAATTCCAAGGTTCCGACGTTGCGGCAGGTGGTTCTTTTCACCACGATGAACTCTCGCGGTCTCTGTGTGTTATATCTAAACTCATCTCCCATACTTTTCTCCGCTCGCTTGCTCCTTTTATCGACTTCCCCTCGTCTCTCCCTTTCCTATGGTGTGCCTCCGTAATCGCAAAAAGAAGAAACGGCCGGTGTGGAATGATGGTGAAGCTATTAAAAGCTTGCGAAGCTAAATTGAATTACGCATTTTCTTGTCTCCTTTGACGCACCATATAATATCCGCGTTGCAGTCAGCCTCTGTTCCGCGCTTCAGCCGTGGTATTAATTCACCAGAAATTGTCCGAAATGGCTGAGTCGCTCGGGAATATTTCCACGCGCGAATAAATATTTCCACGCACGTGAAAATGGTCGGAACGCGTAAAATGCATCCGGGCGGAGGTCTTTTTCATTTACTCCTGGGACAGGCATCGTGCCAGGAAAACGGGCCTCTTCTTCCTTTCCTTCATCGACCGCCAGCGTGCCAAGGCCAAACAGGAAGACGCGGTCTTACAGTCACGGTCACGAAACGAACACATATCTTTTTATACAATGATGCGAGTCGCCGTGTGAATTAATCCACACGCCGATATTATTATGAACGACCACCCTATTTCGCATTCCCGATCGACCGGCTCGCGTTGCGGCTGATTTGCGGTTCCAATAAGCGCGCATTTTGAGAAAAAATTATCCGGACAATTTCGCCCGATGATTCTTCTTGCTTCCTGTAAAACGTTCGGTCGTCGATTAACGAGCACGCTCGTGAGAATCGACAGGCGCGCGATATTTTTCACCGAATTAACCGGCGTCGGGGCTGGCGAACGTATTAATTTTGCAAGGCGGTCGCGAATTATTGCAGGTCAGACGGACGGAATGAAACTCGTAATCGCGCTGGGAATCGCGCGTGGTTCACGGTATTTTATTGCTGAATATGTAACGGGCGGCACGGTTTCGCGCGGCTGTTAGATTAAATCGTGGAAAATACATCGTGGAAACATTCGCCGACTGCCGGACGGAACGTGGTCGCTGGAACGGTAAATGTCCGATTTACTTCGACTTCTCGCACAGATTGCTCGTTTTGCGAAGAGTGAGGGAGGGAGGGCCTTTAAAGTTTCAAAACTTCTGGAAGCGACTGCGAGTAAAAATGATTTCAACGTCAGAATTCGCAAACTTACGGACGCGCGCGGCGCGTCCCGGCCGAGTCGCGGATATCTTCTCGACTAGCCGCACCTACCGCCTCCGAATCAATCTCAATTTAATTAAAGCATTCCTGGACGCAAGAGGACGGCACACCGAGATATTCTGTATCGGTGTTGCTCGCGCGCACTATCGCGGGTTTTTCTTACCGCCGGTCAATTTGGAATACCGCCAGAATGGGATTGCACTTAGCGCGCGCGCGACGTTTGGCATATCGCGACGTTCCGCGGGAGAAAGAAGAAAGAGGGTGGAAACGTGTACACGTCTTTCCAACGCGTCGATTATTCGCTCCGGGTTTCTCGCTGAGAATTGGCTCGCTCGATCGCGGTAGTTTCGAGAGAGTCGCGGGGGCTCGTCCCAGCAGAACGTATTTAACCTCCCCTTCAAAACGACGATTCGACATATAAATTCCGCGTAGTTTCGCACCGACTGTTTTCACAATTCACGATGAAGGAGAAAGCTTGCGCTCTCTCTCTCTCTCTCTCTCTCTTTTTCTCTCACAGCGACGAGTGAACTTTTTATTACAGCGGAAGTGAGCCTGCACTCTAAGGAGCCTTTGCATTATCGATCTGATTTCATACCGCGGAACACCGTGCATTCCCCTCGCTATTGCCTCCATAGCGTGACTCGAAATCGTTCTGCAAAGCTATAAAAAAAGAAAGGAAGCAAGAAGGGAGGAAAAATGTTTAATGGGCTTTCCTGCGAACGTCGTAAAATGAAATAACAATCGAGGGATGAAAACGCAAAGACCCCGAGTGCAGGCGTGCGATTCGCGATTCCAGACGCGTTTCCAACACAATTCCGCAGCCTTCGTCGTTTGCATTCTTATCTATACGGCCAACCGGGAGCTCGACGACTACATTTCGACTTCATTCGATGTTTCAGCTACGACATTCCTGCTCGCGCTTTATCGACCGGTTACACTCTCTTCACCGTCCCTTTGCGCGCTGCTTTTATTCCCTGCCGGGTCAACGTTTCTTCGCTTCGGTGAAAAGGCCACTCGATTCGGCTGCTATCCTTCATCCGATCGTTTTTCCCAGGGATACGCGGATGTGTTTCGAGAGAGAGAGAGAGAGACCCATCGATCTCCCCTGCGAGCATTTTTGCATTATGTTTCATCAGCCTGCCGTACAGAAGTATCGCCGACATTTATCCTGCCCGTTGACATTAAATTCTATCGCCGCGCGAAGATGAAGCAATTTCACTGAGTGCGACGTACACACACACGTTTAAGCTGAAGACGGTACATCGATCTTGCTTACGCGGACAGACATTCGGCGCTTCTGCACGAATTGGACTCTGTGCTGTGAGGAAAAAAAAAGAGAAAAGGGAGAAAACATCGTCACGCACGATCGTCGATATTTGTTCGCGTGTTGCGCGAAAATGCCGGGCCGCGATCGAGAATTAGAGGGACGAGGAATCCGGGCCTCGGCGGCGGGGTTGTTTCTCTCTTTTTTTCCCCTTTTTTTTCTCTCCTTCAACGGCATATTTTCCTTTCACTCGCGCTTTATCGATCCGTTTCGCGTTGCTTCTGCGGTCGTCCCTTTTCCTCGGCGCTTTTTTGTACAGCCGGGCGACCTTTGCAGGCTCGCCGCACCGGAAACCAGCGAACCGTTTATCCTCGGAGTTGCGGAGGAGCGTAATCGGGCACGTCGTTCGTGCGCTTTCCTGCGTGGCACTCTCAACGCCAGCGGCACATTTTGAACTTTAAACCGTATATTATTATCCGCGCTCTGTCCACCGTCGCAGACCTAATAAAATCAGATCGCTCGATCGACAGCCCCTGCGACGAATAGGACGGAGCGAAAAGGGCGAAGGTGAGGCACGAGCGAGAGGGCGGGAATAATAATTCATCGGGAGATCAGGGAGCAGGAATGAGGAGTCCGCTCGGATTGCGCTCCTGATGTTATTGGCAAGGGTTTCAACGGCGCTTCGAGCGACAAACGCGATTGTCCGACGTTATCCGCGAGAATCGGCAATCGATCACGCCGTAGGAAAAACGGCGGTACGACCGATGTCATCGTCGTTGCGCGAACGAACGGACAGTCCGAGGATCTGGACGTATGGACGGTATCCTCTCGTTCACGTTCGAACGTGCAATAGTATTAATCACCTCTCCGGCGGCGAAAACCTAACGATTTTGCGTCCCGGTTGAAGCAAAGAAAGATTGCGTTAAGTAAGCGCGGATAAAGGTATCGGATTTCGCCCCGGAGAAGTGGAGTCGCATGTCGCTCCGTCGTGTTCAGCGCTTCACGGTCGCGCGATATTACGGTACTTTCCAGTTACCGCCTAATCCGTTAATTACGATCTCGAGTTGGCGGGGAATTACGCGTGGATCTTTTTGAAATTTCTCATCGAGAGACCTCGTACTCGGTCTATAAATAGTCGTGTCACACCGACAGAGGAAAGTCAGTTTAATCGTCATTGACGTCAAAGTTATCTCGTGGGATCGGCGAGTGATCGATAAGCGGACACGAATACGGTATTTCGTGACGAACTCACCGATGATAACGTATCGCTCCGCGATCTCAATATATCGCTCTGTTTCGGAGCGATTACCAAAGTCTCGCTTTGGATCGCACTGGAGATCACTCTCTTCCCGTAGCTCTCCTTCCGAAACGTCCAGCGAGGCTCGACAGTCCAAACGGGCGGGTATCGCATCGATTGATCTGCTCTCGCGAAACACGAGCGTGGCTAAAAATATTTCTTTTTAATATTTCACACGCTAATACATGAAGGATCCCGATTCTTTTAAGCGGCCGCGAACGCAGGAAATGTTCGCTCCGTGCTGCCCCGGCGGCTTTACGAAGTTTCCAACGGCGTTACTTATTACGAAAGTCAACGAGTCTGACGAAAAGCCGCGACTCGTCGCTTCTCGTGCCGCGGTTCCCGTGATATTTCAAAACCTCGAGCGGCGAGGTGCGAAATTGCGCTCCCGAATCACCTCGAGGCTCCTCGAGCGAGTCTGAATCTTCACGTTTTCACGAGGAGATTTTGATTTGCCACTTAATCCTCGCAAGGAGGATTAGGAAAGAATGTTACTTATTAGATTATTGTAATATCATTGAAAAATATATTCTTCCCCATCGTTCCACGTGGACTTTCGTGTCCTTTTCTCGCTTTGCGTTGCGCTTCGAATTTAGAATCGAATGTCGTTCGGCAGAAGCCATTGAGAGAACTGGGCCGACTGTGCCTCAATGCCGGCGGACAGAGCAACGTCGTCGTCGCCGAGGTCTGCAACGAGACGCGCGGGGGGCTCCCGCTTCTTCAGGTATGGCCGAGCGACTCGCCCAGAGGCGAAGCCGACGGACAGGCCCAAGCTTTCTTGTTTCCAGATGTGCAGGAAAACGTCAACGACAGCGGCATCGAGTCCATTCAGGTGCGACTTTTTACCGTTTTTAAATCGTACGCTCGCTCGTCGAATCCCACGCGAATAACATCCGAACAATCGTACAGCCCGAATGTCATCGGTGTAGAAACATAAAGACCTTTCGCGAGTTGCGCAAAATATATGCTGAACCTTTGGCGAAACACATTGAAGGCGTCGCCGTCGCCATGCGGTGCCGTCTGCAACAGTCCGGCGACGACGCCGCAGCAGTCACGTCGCGCCAGTCTTCTGCATCCGGATCACGCGCGGCTGCACCTGCATCATCTGCACCACAACCACCATAACGCGGGCTCGAAGAGTCCGCCGTCGCCGGACCGGACGTCCATAGACGAGGATCAGCCACCTGCGCCGCCGAGTCCCTCCAGCTCGACCACCAGCAGCCTGCGATCGATGCCGAGCTCGGCGATCGCCTCGATGCACTCCCAGGACCGAAGACGCAGCAGCAGGTAATCGATGGTTCATGCATTCGACGTTACCTCTGCTGAAATAACGGGGTGGAAAAGATGGGAAGTGATGACGCCGCAGTTCATCGTAATTATTACTAATATCCCCGGTAGGACGAAAGTTGCGGATACACCGATCTTGGTTAGTGGTTTGTGACGGTTTGACGGGGGTAACCGTAAAAGAACGCGCTGTTTTACCTTGCTCTTCCCCTTCGTCGCGAGGTATCAGCGCGAACGTTTGTTAATCGCGTAAACGCGCGAGCTTATCCTTGGCCGCACGTGCCGGGCAGTTTCAGAGATCACGACACCGGGAACGATTCATCCATCGTCCTACTACGTTTGACGTCGATCTTGACTCACGTCAAGGAACGGCCTTGACACGATGCAAATACACGAGCCGACGACGTATCGGCGTCGACGTCGAGTAATGCGCGCGCGTCCGCTCGAACACGTAGAGGCGGTGTATCGCTCGCACTTGTGTGTTCTCGTCGCTGCCGAGTGGCTCTCCTTCTGAGAGAAAATCGCTTTCGCCCCCTGGCTCGCGAGGCCGACCGCGCCCCAATTTCTTGCCCTTTTCTTCTTTTTACCGGTCGCAATCTCGCGGTTGAGCACGCAGGACCTCGCGCGAGGTCGCGACGTTGGATCGTCTCGATAGGCGGCCGTTTATACGTCTCTCTCTTTCTACCACACACCGTCCGTGCGCTTTGTTCTCACGTCAGAATTGTCGGGCTCGTTTCCCGATGTGTGTGCGACGAAGGCTGCGATGTAACGCGCGAGATCCTCAACCGTCGGTGGGGAGGGAGCTTTTGAGAATGTGCAACATGTGCGGAAGCCTGTGAGATCCCGAACTAGTTGCGTTGGAAGAGAGAGAGAGAGAGAGAAAGAACAATAGTCCTGAAAATGTTGCCGAGAGTGCGCCAGATTACGATCGAATGAGACGATAGCGAGGGATGGCGATATTAATTAACACGTTCCGCCAGCAGATACAGCATGTTCGACGCCTTGGATCTGGAGTACGCCCTTCTGAGGGCCGCGGCCCGCGGCTCCGTCGGCCCGTATTCCCTGTCGGAGTCCCTCCACAAGCTGACCTTCACTCAGAGCCTGGCCTTTCCCGCCCTCGCGCGCGGTCTCGCCTCCAAGCAGAGCGTGCCGGCGAGAAGACCCCAGCAGCACGCGGAGAGCGGGCTGAACGCTTTCGCGAAGGTGGTGACCGCGCTGGTGCTGATGCTGGTGAGCGTGCTGGTGTTCGGTGTGGTCTACAAGTTCGCCAGAACGTGAGGCTGGCTGCTGGTGCCCAGTCGGCATCCTGGCTCGATGCCGCAGGATAGCGGACGTTTGGGCGCCAATGGCGTGTTTAGCGGTAACGTTTGACGGACGAACCTCCTGCCTGCGAGGGAGAGCGAAGCGACAACGGAACGACGCGTCCACCATCGGGATGACGACGTTCGGACGTTCAGCTTGAGCGTGAATCTTTCAACGACAAGATCGATGGGTGGAATCGAGGATGAACGGTGAGGAGTGTGCGATAATCGATACGCGACTCACCCCGCACGCGGCTGGCCAGAGGTGTGGAAACAATTTTATACGTGACTTGTTGTTTCGTCGGAGCGCGACAAATTTGGCGCGTATCCGGGTGTATTTGATAGGAAGGAAGCGTGAAAGGAGGATAATGAGAAACACGATAGTGATAATGAAACACCGACAACGACGGCCCGTTGCGTCGGGCAGAAGCTTGGGCGTGCGTGCGTTGACTAAAAGCAGCAATTCGCGTTTTGATGGCGGATAAATGCGTGCGGATGGTATCAGGTTGGCGGCGAGAAAAAATTCCGATGGGGAGGACGCGCGGAGAGGTTGTAATATAAGAGAGGTTGTAATTTATAAGAGAGGTTGTCAAATCTACGTCTCCATTTGCTACGAGTCTATATATAGCTGGTCTATATTTCTTAAGAGATAATTGTGTACTTGCGAAAGCGCGGCGAAGAGATGCATTGATGACGTCGGAATGAAATCCCGGCGAATGCAGTTGCGAGTCGTGGCATCTCGTTAACGAATACAAATTTGTGCTCCAGTCTCGTCGAGGTGAGACAGAGTTTCGGGTGCATCGCTATCGCCGATATAACTCGAGTTGCGAGAACTCGTTAAAGGACTCTTCAATGTGTTGTATTTTACCGAATCGTCAAGAGGGAAAGAGAGATGGAGATAGATAGAGAAAGGGAGAGGGAGAGAGAATGAAAGAGGCGGTAACTGGAGCGGCAGGGGCAGTTAATAAAGATCGGTTTCAAATGGAAGTGAAATTTAACGACGCGACGATGACGGAACAATGGACGGATTGAATCATTCGGACCGTCTGTATGAAATCGATTACGCATTGCGACATTCGAGCGGACGTTTGAAATTTCAATCATGATTGAATTGTGGCTCAAATGTAGATACTTTGCCGATGCGGACAGAGAGTGAGAGAGGGAGAGAGAGAAATCGAACGAAATAAATGAAGCGATTCTACTTTCGGGATTACTGAAGTGTCCTCGAATACCAATAGCGATCTCTATTCAAGACGACAAAGTCCTATGCGCATTGATTTTCAGCGCATTTCACCTTGACTGGACCACGTTACGACAAACTTTCGCTCCGGTTAAAACCGTCTGAATCTAACCCGAGTAAATCCTCGCGAAGAAATACATATACAGGGTGTTACACTCATGTACACAGCAATATACCAGGTTGTCGTTACAGGCGCACGAATTCCGGACTGTCGTGTGCGCTCTCTCACTCTCTCACATACGTGGCCCTGCAGCGGTAACTCGGCGTATTGTTCCGTATGTAAGTGCAACACCGTAAGTACAGCCTATGTACACGGTTTGTGAGAGACACGGGGGGAGGGAGGGGGGTTATTCTTTGCTCACCCCTTTCTGTGCTCTCCGGGACCGCGTCTTTCCAATTGTTCTGTCCAACTGTTTGATTTCGAACTCTAAGAGCCAAATTCACGATCTCCGGTTAACTGAATCAGCTGATTATTCCAGTGGGATTGACCAATCGCATTCGTCGTTAAGCAGAATTGACCAGAAATAACGGTCGAACCGGTCGCTTGAGTTAATTGGAGATTGTGAAACTGGCCTTAAGATTCCTCGACTCTTTCTCCGGCCAAGCCCCGTTGCTTTGCAGCGCCTTGTCCGCGCGCGGAGTCACCACTTCCTCCGCACGGACGTGCATGCGAGCATAATAATAATCTCACGAATTCTCCGGGACGCCCCGCGACTGTCTTTACACAAGTGCTTTACCTAACTTCTCTCAGTGACAATCGGCCGGATAGCCTCGTTCCCGGTAACCTTATTCTAACGTTAAGCGCGGCTCGGCGGAGCCAGCCTCCGCGATCGGAAACGACGAAACTTTCCGCTAGAATTAAACGGTTTCCGACAACGGCGCCGTGTTAAAATCCGAAGGCAGCTAATCGTCGATGCTTTAATTAAAGCGCAACGTGGCTTGAAACTAAATCGAACTCTCGCAATAACCGAACGGGTCTCGCGCTCGCCGTGCGCCAGCTGATGACCGACGTGTCGAAGGTGTCTGCGTATTTTTATAAAGTATCACATCGATCGTTACGTCAGCAAGTAAAAATAAATCCGGCTCGCTTGACACGTGCTCCTCTCTTCATTGAGGAGATTCTCCGGGAGGTCACCATTTATTTTTGCTAGGTCCTAGGATGCGATTTCGTTTTGAGCCAGCGATTAGCTCAGAAGAGACGCCCGATGAAACATCTCGGAATTTATTTCGTACAGCCTAGTCGGCCATATTTTATGGATGATAAAACACACACACACACACACACATATATATATATATATGTATGTATATACACATATATATTATAAATATTTATGGTCGTTACATGGAGGCGCATCTTCGTTACTTTGATGTTATGCTTTGTACGAAGCAACGAAATTTCTAAAAATAATCAAGACGCGTCACACACGCGGATAGCGGAATTACCGCACTCTACCTTTTTTAACTATCGTATTCTGTACAACGTATGTACACATATGTAACGCTGCTGCACTCTACGTGAAGAGGAGAATTTCTCCTTCCTTACTCCCTTTACATATACGATATGCGACGTCAGACTTAAAATTAATCTCGCGACGGCATTCTGCCGCCGAGACAGATCGAAATTCTGACGAAGGTGTACTTACCTTACATCTCGCAACGATATGCGAGACGTATACTGCCCCGAGGATTTTGTAGACGAGTCGGGGAAAAAACCCTACACCTTCCTTCAGAAAGAAAGAGCGAAAGAACGGTTCTTTTTCTCGCGGTAGAATTCATAGCCAACTACAAATCCCTTCCTTCCCGCGATTCCGATCCACGCTCAGAATTCCCTTTCAATTGCGCATAGCGACAACAAAACTGATCGGGAATGAATATGAGATATCGTGTGGGATTTTCTTTCCTCTACTACGAACAAGGATTGTAATTAATAAAGCGCTACCCCCGACACTGTAAATCGGGCAAGGCAGGACGAGCGCGTGACAAGGTCGAGTTTCACACGAACTTGAAACTTCCGGCGGTATACGTTTTCGCGATACTTACAGTGTTTCGTTTGCGTCCCCTTTCGTCCCGTCGAATGTTAGCCGGTGCCGCGAAAATGGAACGATTCGACGTAAATTATCGCGCGTTGAATCTAATCGTGCCAAGATGGATCGTATGAAAGCGTTTCCCGACTCTAATAGTCGATGCTACGCTCATAAGTATCGAAACTACCTCCATTCGGTCGTTCCATTTCGAGGTATTAGCCTCTCCCCTCCCCTCGAGACGCAAGAAGAAACAATAAAAGAATCGGAAAAAAATGTGCTACAGTGGATCCTTTTAATCCTACCCCCCGATTTGGTCCTGAACCGAGTCGTTTCGACGGCGAGACACCGATGACCATGTAATTAGCGAGCGATTGAAAATTGGAAGGTTTCGGGAAAGTCGCAGGCAGTCAAGAGATCGGAGATCTCGTTCTTCCATTAATTTCGCTTTACTTTCACAGAATTCACAGAATTCACAGGATTCTAATTCGAAGTTTATTTACAAAGATACTAATGTTGTTCCTTTAACGCTAACACTTCGCCGCTCGTCTCCTCGATCGGCGCGAACCTAGAAGCTTAAGAAATGGACTTGATTCGCGAACCAGCTTTGCGAAACAACTGAATCGATAATCGACGAAGTGTCCCGCTCCAGAACAGAGATTCGCAGGCTCATTCGTATTTGGAACTTAAACTGAGTTTCGGGAGGATTGCTCTCGATCGTCATCTTGTTTCCCTTTCTTTCTCTATCTCTCTCGCGAAAGAATTTATGCTAAGTTACTCGCGGCTTCGTAGTCTCGCATCAGCGCTTTATTAGGCCAAGCTTCTGTTGTGTTTAAGCTCGTCTTATTTGCAAGTTATTTTCATAAGACGTCGTCACATCATCTCAATATCCTGGTCGTCTCTCGTCCCGAGGCGAGCTTAGGACCACAATTTCGAAGCGCGTCTCGAGCCAACCTGACGTAGCGTGATCAAAAGCCTGTCTTGAATTCAGCGCGCAGCACCCTTCGGATCTCGACGAATGAATCGCGAGAATGGCGCTTCTTTGTGAAAACAAAAATATTCTCTCTCTCTCTCTCTCTCGTAGGCGAAGGCGCTATTTATCACTTCGCCGAGACTTCGCAGGAATGGGGTTTCTCGTCTAATTCCGCGATCACCCTTTGATCTTCCTCTCTTCACGCGTGTGTCCGCTTGTCGTGCTAGGAAATATGAAAGTTTCACGACTCAAATATCCCCCTTCGTTCCTCGAGCCCGTTTTGTCACATCTAAGGTGTGCTAAGGTATCTACAGTGATATATTTCCCTTACACGACTATGTACGCGTTCTTTCGCTCGGGTCGTTCTGCGCGTCTCCCATCGTCGTCGTCGTCGTCGTTATCCGCGTGACGGCCTCGTGGAAAACAATGCCGAATGAAACTTTGCAAAATCGCAAAGATTAACTTCGGACGTAAATTTCTCCTTCGATCGATTGATTTTTCACGAAGGAAAACTTGTGCCACGTATCAATCGCTCTTTCACCCTCTCTGCTTGCATATCGATCGATCGACTCACGGAAACTATGTGTACGTGTGTATGTGTATTTGTTGCAATTACGCGGACGAGAAATCGACCGGAAATAGAAGGATGCGATTCGTGGAGCGATCCTGAAATGTATCGCATTTCTTCTTGGAACGATTCGTTCGATCTGTCTTCAGCTTCGCCTCGCGCTTTTAGGCCGTGGCTTCCTTATGTATGTGTGTGTGTGTGTGTGTGTGTGTTCTTGATACTATTCAATTCTTCATTGTACTCTCTTCTTTTCCTTCTCTCTCTCTCTCTCTCTCTCATATATTCTCTCGCAACCCTCTCGTTACATTCAACGCGGCCGCGAATAGCGTGCGATCTTCAACGCTGCACCTCTGATTCGATTTCTAGCCGAATTTGAGACCAAGATCGAATAGAAGATGCTCTCCCAAACACGCGCAACAGAGACCTATGTATTTCGTGTTGCGATAAAGCGGTATGTGCGCCGTCGAAACGTAACGAAAGAGTCAGTAGAAAACCACTTCAAGCTTCTCCTCGTGTGCGTTTTACGTACTCGAGTCATCTTGGTCTGTGATAAACTCGGCGACTGTAGAAAAATAAATTATTACCGTATCGGTGATGGTCTTTTTTTCTCCCTTTCTTCTTCTGTTTTTCTAATTTACGGCGCACGTTTATGGTCTTGTGATTTTTTTTCTTCTTTGCTTCTTCCGCCTTTTTATTCTCTTGTTTCGCCAAGTGCTTCCGTTGTACACATACTGCATCTCTTCGATGTATCTCGCACGAGTGTGCGTCCTACGGATGATGTGTGTCCGGAGGCTAGTCCGGAAGGTAAATACAGTTCTAAGTTTCTAAGAAGATGCCGCTTGTTAAATCGTCTATCTCTCGTAATCGCTATTCCTCTGCTCCGAGCGATTTGTAATCGGATGAACGATAGATTGTGTCATGTACGAACGCCGGTGATCTAAATCGGTGAGACACGAAAACAGATATAACTTTGTACTTCCTTTGAATTACTTCCTTAACATTTTTACTTTCGCTCTTTTGAGTTTTTCGCTTTCTCTCTCTCTCTCTCTCTCTCCCTTTCTCTTCCCTTAAGTTATTGCTAGTATCGATGGGAGGTCGTCCGACACTGATAGGATCCGCGAATTATTCTCGCACAACATGCACGTCGGCAACCAAGCATCTGACCGATGCGACTTGGAGAGAGAAATCAGACTTAGCGGAGTATACGAGACTCGCCACAAACGGAGTGATTATTTGTACGTTTACTTCGAGGGGATATTCCGCGCGTGTTCTTCCCCGCACGGCGTTATTTACACGGTGGCATCAAAGTATCGTTCCACACGATTTCAGCTCGCGCAGTTTCCTCTAAATCTACTACGTTTGGTTTCGGATATACCCTGTACGAATTCGACACAGCCTCGCTGTGAATGCGGACAGCACGGTCGCGACGCTTCTTTCTCGGCGACGAGTCTCAGATCGGACGAAAATCGCGAGGGGCCAGCGGCTTGTGCAATTTTCGCCTTCCTTAAGAAAGGCATCGAAGAGAGAAGGTCGCGACTCTTTCGCGAGTTTGCGCGTGTAAACGTTAGACGTGAACGGTGAACAGTCACCGGCGGCTGTGTGTTTCTTCTCTCTTCAACTTAATCGATCGATCCGTCAACGATGACTTGGCAATATGGCGACGCACGATGACACTCGAAAACGATCTTCACCAAGTCGGTCCCGCCCGACTTGTCCGTTCAAAACATCTTCCTTCGCGTGCTGTTCCCTCCTTCCGAGACACGAGGATGCTAACACATTTAGAGAGCTCTCTACGACATTACGTTTAGTTCGCCGAACGCTCTTGAAGGAAAACCGTTCGGTCGATACAAAGACGATCGTGGTTCGTCAGCTCCTGCTTCTTCTCGCTCGTCGTCGATCAAGCGACCCGAGGATGCAGAAGGAACCTCAACCTTCGATCTGACACCTCTCGAGAGAGGTCGTGACTTTTCTCGTTCAAATTAGAGCCTTCGAGTATATTACTGGTAGATTATAGGATGGGTAGGCTCGACGGGAAGATCACTGTCGAGGTCCAGAGACACGCCGTCTTTGGAGATAAGGTAGTGCGTCAACAGTTGTCCTTTGCCCTTTACGTCGACGAGACCTCGCTGCTCGAAGCCGAAGCCGAACGGCTCCAGGATCCGCCGCGTTTCGTCGGTCACCTGTGGATATTTCCTCTCATTTATCACGTAGTATACATATATATATTTATTTTTCAATAATAATTATAAGCATTTCTTTATAGAATATCGAGTCAGCGACACATATCTCGCTGATTGTTACGATACCTGAATGCAGCCGACTTTTCCTGTGCTCTCCATCCTCGACGCGACGTTGACGGTGTTACCCCAAATGTCGTAATGAGGCTTTCTCGCCCCGATGACTCCAGCGGTCACCGGCCCATGATTGATGCCCATTTTCAGAACGAAATGATTGAAGCTTTGCTCGTTGATGCTCGACAGGGCTTTCTTAAGCTCCAGGGCGAATTCCACGAGAGTGGAGAGATGGCCCCATCGGGGACCGTCCTCCGACACGACCGACTCGGTAATTCCCGAAGCAGCCATATAGGTTGATCCTATCGTCTTGATCTTGATAATGGTATCCTTGAATTTATTCTGATCAAGAATCTGTCCGGGAAGAATATGAAGTCGACGGTGAGCGGAAATGACTCGAGCGTGAAGACAGATGCGAGAGGGTAATAATTTGCGCAAATAATCGCACTTGTGTTTGTGTACAAGGGGGCGAATTTGTCGCTGTTTAGCAAATTTCGCGGAGCGAAACTTTCGGACAAGCTAACGTCAATCATTGGGGACTCACGGCGTCGAAATCGGAGATGACCTCGTTCAGGAACCTCAAGCACTCGAGTCCTTGATTGTTGATGGTCTCCTCGGTGTAGAAGTCCGCGAAATTCGGTATACTGGCGAACAACACACCGACTTCGGCGTAGCTCTGACTGTAGAGGTCGTCGTGATGCTTCGCGCTTGAGAGAAAATGCACGGCCACGTGCGGCGGCAGGATATTGTATATCAGCATGCCGTTCCTCCGCTTCATGTCCGCCGCACGCTCCTTCTGCGCGATTACCTCTCGTCCTCTCAGATACAGCATCCTTCGCGCCTTCTCAGCCTATGCAATCGCGACACGTTATCGAATATCGAATCGCCCGTCAAAGTTCCTTACGCGTTCTACCCACCTCGTAACGAGCGTTTCGCTCGTGAAAATAACGTAAATAGATGTCCCGGGCATCAGTGTGCGATTAAACAATATTGAACCTGTTTCTCGCGCATCTCGACCAGTTAAAAACTAACTGATAAAATGAATAACGATCAATCGACATTGTAAATTGCAAATTACGGCTTGCCTTCGTCAACCCGACCAATCGTTGCTTTCGTTCTCCGCTCGGAGCAAAATCGTCCCCGTTTCGTAAAACGCGTGCGCGAGCTGCATCCGCGCGACAGCACGGGCCGAAAGGAAATGTCTCGTTACGATGAAAATCCCGTGAAATCGCTTTCGTCTTTCTCCCGGTCGATGCTTTCAACGACGGCTAGATGGACGATCGTGCCGGACGGGCGGAGCGTCATTCAGCGCGCGCCGTGAAAAGCCCACTCGACGGGCAAATTAATCGAGGTTCAATTTTCCAATCGAACCGTGCCGGATGCGAGCGGATTATGTTTTCGTTCCGCGCGCCCGACGATCGCGCTCGGTTATTTCGGGAAAATTGCGGCACCGTCCGACTTAATTCGCCGATACGCAAATCGAAGCGCGATCGCACGGCGATAAAACGGAGAAGAGAGATCTCACCCTCGCGGGACAGGGGAGTCATCAGAGCCATACATTTTCCCGGGATACGTAATAGAAAGTCTTCAATTTCCGGAGAAAGGGTAGCGCTTTAAGGCGCTCGCGATTCAATTCGCGATATCCGCTTCAACGCGCCTCTTCTTCGCGGAATGAATCGCAGCCGCCGACGCGATTTTACGGCCACGTGAGAATTGATTGTTCTTTCATCGACGTACTCTGCGCGCCCTTGAGGGGATCGTTCTCGCGTGCCGTAAACGCACCCGCAAGTTGATTTGTGCGGACGCCAAGTGGCTGACGTCGTATCTCGCCGTTAAACGTTCCATTAAACGTTCATTCGCAATTCGATCGAGGCCCTCGTCGGGCTTCTCACACGTGCGAATGCCTCACATCGAATGCCGCCCGGATCAAAAGTTTCATACTATTTTGACTCTCTCGAGGATAGTTTGCGCCTACTTAGGTGGCCATCAGACTGGCGAAAATCTACTTTGACGTTGCTGTTAAGTTCTCGCTTGAAACTTTGATACCTAAAATCCCATATACCGTGAAACGACTTGCTTTCGAGAGTTCATATGATATTAGGAAATTCGATCACATTACGCCACCTTACGAAAGATCGGCTTGGCTGAAAATGCATCAGAGCTTTATCTTTCATCTCCTGTGTCTCGTTTTTACTTTTAACTCCTTCATCTTCCTTCAGTTCTACTTTTCTTTTGCGAATTTTGGCATTACAGAAGTGTACGCTTTCACCTCGCCCTCTGGCTCATTCGACTCATTATCTTATTTTTTTCAAGAGTGAAACTCACTATCTCTCTATTATTTTTGACCGGTGAACCTATGATTACCGTTGCGTTTACGAATCGCTAACAGGATGAGAAAGACAGCGAGGTTTCGCACTTACGTATCTCGCCACGATGACCAACGCGGTCGCGATGATGAGCAGTATGGCTGACAGCGAGTATCTCAGAGGGAAACGAACCTCCCGTCCAATATTTGCCATCGCATCCTCCCTGTCGATGGTCGGTGTGAGGAACATTATGTTGTAGCAGCACTGTCCGCCGGCAAGGATGTACATCAGGAACGCCTTGTACAAGTAACAGAGATACGTCGGCATCGAGATTGCGACCAGCGCGAGGACGCCAATGTACGAGTAGTAAGAAGGATACGGGCACCGTGGAGTCCAGTTTGTCGAGTTCGTTGGTGGTGGCTCGACGTCGGTGATGATCGCACAGTTACTCTACACTCGAACGAAATGAGACAATGAGACGTGATAATGCGCAGACCGCTCGCTTCGAGAGAATCGTGTTCGAAAGCTCCCCGAGACGCGAATAATATTTATAGACGGACGAATTGAATATCTTCTCAAGTAGCGAAGTCGAAAGTATCGAAGACTGCGAAATTGAAACGAACAACCGCATCGTGTATGACGTTTGGAAAAAGATAACCGAGGGGTGTGAATCGGAGGAGAAACCCGCGTAGGAAGAAACTAGATTCTGCTTGTGAAATACGAAGTGAGCGAATTGATAAGCGGTCTCGATCTCTCGTACAGACAATCGGCCTGCAGGAACAAGTATCGATTAAGCAACTAACCAAGCTCGTACCATGTCTAACAGCAGAAATTCCGTGAGGGAGAATGCCATCAAGATTGCGAGGGTTTTTCTGAGCCACGTCGCCCTGACAGCGCTGCCTAGACAGGTCGCCCCAGCCAACACGACGCCGAAGAGGGCGACTACCCCGGCGCCACCCCACGTGAACGGTCCCCAGGGTTGAAACCTCCAGACGGGAGCCGCGCAGAGGGTCACCAGGGGTCCGCCGAACAGCGAGAGGGGTGAGAAAGCCTCCTCGGCGCTGTGGAAGGCCGTCTCTACCTTCGGATCCTTGAACCGCAGAGTCAACCAGGAGGCGTGACATTTCAGGTCGGTGCCACCACCTACGAGTGTTTATACGCTGACGTCATATTTAAGGTTGAGTTATTAATAGGACGACCGGATGTCCGGCGATTAGCGACCGCTTGCAGTCCTCGACCTGAAGTTCATTCTCGTATCTATTTACCCGCGCGGAGGCACCTGAGAAATATGTTTCTGGCGAATTTCGAGATTTTCTGCGCAAGCATGAGAGTGAGAGAGAGAGAGAGGCCCTCTAATCGAGGGGTGAGATCGTCCTTCGAACTCGGCAAGACGAATCCTCGGCTTCCCTTCGCACACGGACCTGTCTGTGGATTTAGATTCGAACGTGGTTCGAGAAGGTGTACTTTCCATTCGCAGTTTCATCGACGCTCGTTGCGTAGCTACGTGTACTAGCGAATGTGAACTAGCTTGCTCCCGAGTCTCGATTGTAATCAGTTTCTGCGTCGATAATTGCGACGCCCGTCGAGAACGGCGTGCGAGCACGCATGCGCGCGTATTTTTAAGCCGCTTACCGAGTTCGAACGAGACAATCTTTCGTCCTTAATCCTTTCTAGCCGGAGATCTCGTTGAATTCGACTCGATACCGCTCGAAGGTGCCTCGATCGAACCGCGAGAGGCGAACCGGCCGCGATTTTACCTCTGTCGAGTTTCTTTCTCAGCCGTTGCCGAAACTCCTCCGAGTCCTCCTTATTGTTCCTACTGTCCGGCGCGTTCTCCATTGTCCTCCGCGAATTTTCCGCGTCCGCCAGCGACGCCAGACTCTTCGTCACCGCCGGCTTAAACGGCTTCAAGGCCCTTACTATAAAGTAAGTGACAAGGCCAGCTTTTTGGAGCGCCTCTTCCCGATGCTCGCCGTGAGCCGGCTCGACCTCGAATTCGCCGTTCAGGAAGCTCAGCGTCGCGTTCGAGATGTGTACCCTCCTTGAAGCATTTATTTATTTATGCATTCGCGACGCGCGGTCCCGGCGGACGCTTCAACGGGAAATCGCATCGCGTGCAATTGCGACAACACCCAATTAGACGATAACTCTTATCTAGTAGATTCTACGGTGGAATTAAAAGGTAATAAAATTAATTGGCGGAGCGAGCGGGTAAAGCGCTAATACATCCGCCTATCGATCGGCGAGTCTTACTTTCGCAAATTACTTTCGCGGAAGGGAACAAGTTAATAAACGCGTCTCCCACGCAGGTTGAATATACTCGGCACCGAGTAAAGAATCAAGTCCGGAAGTTCGCGATAAATTCTCAAGGGCGGGGAAAGCGATCTATCGGTATTTCCGAATTCGGCGTATTTCCAGCTTCTCTTACCCGGCCATGCCACTGCTCTCCATCTTATTCGCTAGCTCGACGTCCTTGCTGTAGACGTCGAATTGCCATTGTCTCTGTCCGAGCACCCCGGCGAGCACCGCACCCGTGTGAATGCCCACCCTCATGTCGACGGGACTGTTTGTCGTCTGTTGAACATACTTGATCGCCTCCACCATGGAGAGCCCCATATGCACGCAGAGGACCGCGTGGTCTGGCCTCTCCACGGGTGCACCACTTATGCAGTAGTAACAGTCCCCCAAGATCTTGATGCGCAACTGCTCGTATCTACGAATAGGTTTGTTTCACACAAATTGCTCCGTTACCTATTTGTCGATCGACGAGTATATCCCTGATCTCCGTTTTTTTCTTTAATCCGAAAGGAGAAACTCGAATCGAAGTAATCGCATCCGCGGAAATGCACCCGCGGCAAAGTGTCGAAGAGCATTCTCGAATGGTGTTTACGTGGAAAGTGAAGCGAGGAATTGCCGTTCAAACTGTCGTATAATTCCAGAGACACGTTTCTACAAATATATATTATTTTCCGCGAAAGGTGCCAGAAGTATTCGTTTACCGGTAAATGGGAAACTGAGATTGACAGCTGAGGAACTCGTCGCATCTGTACGACGCGTAATATATATTTCGATTTTTCGCCCCTTTCTCGCCGATTTTCCTTTCCTTTAAAGTTTCACTTCGTACAAATACCCGCGCGCGATCTACCAATAGCTTTTCCAACGGGAGAACCGAATTGTTTCGCGAAGGTGTTAGCCGATAATGGGGAAGAAATGCTACGATACTGCGCGTCGACGGTCACATAAGCTGCAAAGTGCATTCGGCACGGCGACGGGGAAAACGTCCCCGGGGATATCGATTGCCAGTGTCCTCGAGGAGAACCTCCTTCTCCGGCGGGATTTACGGAGTCGGTTAGCCGAAGACAAAATCGGGGTGAATTCACTGATGAAATCAATCCCGTCGTCACGCCGATTCGGGAATTTTCGTTGCCCCCCCCCCCCNCCCCCCCCCCCTCCCGAGCGGAAATGGAACGCGCGTGTTACGGAATCCTAGCATTTTACTAAAATTACGATTAGCATTCAATGACACGCGAAGCCCCGCTTAATAGATTCCGATATAGATCTACGACCTAGAACAGCGTTTCTCAATTCGCGCGCGATGTACTTTTCTCGCAGGATCGATAGAGCGAACGCGCGACGATATAACTCGAAGGTAAAGGGGCAACTGTGTTGAACTCGACGATACACGTTCAACACCCACGAAGTCGAGTGCGCGAGTACGTCGTGGTGGTCGTAGGGAATCGTAGCGATTGACGGGAAGCGAAATATCGTCCTCGTCTGAAATCGGACGGATCGAGGTTTCAAGGACGACGGGAATAAGAATCGACGAGTACCGTTCGCTGAGCTGGTCGAATCGCGCAAAGAGCTCGTTGAGTATCTTGACCAGCTCGCTGGCGCTGTAGGTCGACGAGATCGCGGTGAAGCCGACTATGTCGGCATAAAGTATCGACACGTTTTCGTGCCTGGACATGTAGATCTTCTTGAACTGCGTGTCGAGGGAGGCGCCGAGGTCCTGCCGCATCATGACCGCGACGTGCTCCGGCAGGACACTGAGCAGCAGTCGCTCCTGCTCCGTGCTCTGCTCCTCGAACATCAATTGTGCTTCCAGGCTCTGCCTGGTCTCCAGGAACTCCCGGCGCTGCTGGAACTCCGCCAGGCAGTAGCTGGAAGCACCCAAAACAGCGGCGCCGGCCGAGAGTGTCACCGTCAGGATCTACAGGAGGTTTTTACGAAACTGATTTACAGTCGTTTCCGGATGAGATCGCTCGCCGGCGACGCGAGAACCAACCGCGAGTTCGTCGGGGCCTTCGTTTCATCGCGAGTGATCAAGCAACGGCGACTCGGCAAATTTGTTAACGGCTGTATTTTCAAGACGACCGTCGGCGACACCGGAAACGTCACCGTTCGTACATTTAATGCGTAGATACCGTCATTTCTCCTCTGCGAAAAATCCCCCGGAAAAACGCCCACACGTGACAGATCGCGTCGTTCCGAATATATTTTCGTACCTTTTTCTTCACGAATGAACCGTTCGACGGTCGGTCAAGTTACGTCGTCCGTAAAGATAAGTACAGATTCGTCACGGCCGGAGAAGTGAATATTTTACTTAATTTCCCGTCGACCGTAAACACAGCTGATATTTCGATCGTGCGGGGTCAGTCTTCCGGACAATATTCCGCTGTGTCGGTCGAAAGGCAGTCGCTATTCCCGGTGAAAAACCATTGAGTGTCGCGTATCGAAAGGCAACCTCTCGCATCACTGAGCAGCGCCGTTCTCTCTCTCTCTCTCTCTCTCTTTCCCGCTCTCTTTCGCTCTATCTGGCTCTCATTACGTGTACCTTTATCTTCGTCACACTCTCTATTTTAAACTACCATTGACCGAACTCTACTCGAGTGTTACTAACGACCAGAGTCACGTGGCGCGCGTCTACATTCAGTTTTCGCCTTCACACGATATTCGCTGCCGAAAGTTCGGACGCCTCGGCCGATGCACCGTGTTGTTTACCACACGATATCAACGCAGCTAATCGTTCGAATCCCCCACAAGTTCGAATCCTCCAGTATCGCATCGGTATTCTCACGCTGAACGTATCGATCGGGATTGTTGTTTCGACAAAGAATTACCCGGAAGGACTCCGTCCGATTCTGCCGTACAAGGATCCTCCTTTCATTGATTCGAGCGCCTTCCGTGTGCTATTTTTCACCATCGAATGGATTTTCATAACAAAGAGGTGGGACAAAGCAGACCGTGCCCGGGAATCCGCCGCGGTTTCCGAAATGCCTCCTGTCGTTGCGACGCGCGCGAAGCCGCGCATTCGCGAAATACGCGAGGCGGACGATGCGCGACTCGGTTTCGCTCAGTATCGCCCGCGAAACAAAGGTGTCCCGGCGATACAACTTTCCCGGCGATGCACAGCGACGCGAATGCTATTACTGCTTCAACGGTGATATCACATTGCGTACCGGTGATCGATAAAGTGGGACCACCTGGTGGGTACGACATGTAGCATGTAGCGATTTTCAGCTCGCACGACGATTCAATTCGGCCGGCTGTCCGAATTGTACCGTCGCATTAATTGACGCCCGTCAAATCGACGCGTCTATGCGCGCGAGATTAGCGCGCAGACGATGAAAATGATCGACGTGTCTTAATTTAATTGAAAGCCGACACAACGCGACCGGGATATGAAGTGAACGTGAAGCGATCTCGCGGCGACTGTACCTTTCTTTTTTTTTTCTTTTGCGAACGTTGTATCGCCGCGCAAAGAGCCGTTCTCCCCGTGAACGCGTAGATGATTGAAATTATCGCGAATCAACGAATGGTGGTGCAAAAAGCCGCGGCTAACGGAAAAATGCGCATTTATGGTGTCACCATATGCCTGGTGCGACCTATCGATGCGACAAATGCACCGTAGCTCACGTCGGTTACGGCGAACGTCAAAGTGCGCCGCGTCGAAGGTCAAGAGTTATCATCAAATATAGTATAATTTGCAATTAATAGTAGCGGCTGCTAAATACGTCGCTCAAGACGTCGCCGGCGTGGCCTTTTACGAAACGTACGTGGCCAACTTCTTTTCGAAGAATCATATTTTCGTACCGGTGAATCGTCGTCCTTTTCTATCCTTTTCTTTCCTTCTTTTTTACGCGGTTGCTCTCGAACGAACACTGTCGCGTATTCGTACAAGTAGTGCCGATACGCCTCGTTGAACTTGGATCGATGTTGTTGCACGCGCCGGTCTCTGCGTCGGCTGACAATGAATTAGTTTGTCGAAGTCGACAACGCCGTCGTTTCTACCCTGCGCGCGTATCGGAAAGTGTTTCACCCCTTGCTCGCGTGCAATTAATACACGCGCCGCGTGTTACGCTTTTATTTTTTCAAGTCACGCGCGCGCACGATTGCGCTCGTGCGTCAGCCGCACGGCTGACTCTCTCTCTCTCTCTCTCGTTGAAGAAGTCGTTCGTTACGCGAGATGCTCGAGAACCGTCTCCTTCTGACGTCCGGTGTTGTTTTCTTCCTCCGAAAGGCGCTCGCCTCTTCGATGCGGCGCGCTTATATGCCTTCTAAACTCGTTATCGCCGCTTTTAGGCGTGACCGAAGGGTCTGACTCATTAAATATAGATTGCGGTGTATATGAGTATTTGAGTTATTTTTAATTGCTCCCCGTAGGGCGCTATTAATGGAAAGAGGTCACGCGGCGCGAAGATTACGCGAGCGCTCGCAGGACCGATTCGCGCGGATTAAACGCGTCGAAGAGCGAAAGAGAGAGAGAGAGAGAGAGAGAGAGTGCGTGTGTGTGTGTGTGTGTGTGTGTTTCGCGCTGTTGGGAGGGACCTTCGAGCAGTCGGTCCAATTTGAAAAATCCCTTCATCGGGGATAGAGGATTCGCCGACCGACGAATCCGCTGGTAGTTTGCGAGCCCCGACGTCCTCGCCGATCAATTCTCTCTCGAGCATCACCTCGAGCGGGAGTTTGCAGGCAGCCCTGCTCTCGGAGGATCGGCCGAGCCGATGTTGCACGATTCCCCGATGCTCCAGACCCGAGAGATTCGTGCTGACTAGACTCTCCGAGTCGGGAAAGAGAGTTACCTACCAGAACATCGTATGGTATCTGCTCCGGCGCCTTGGAGAGGCCGACGACGATGAAGATGTACGTGAGCGCTGTGCCGCACGCATGGAACACGCAGTGGGATAGCCTGAGCGGCAAGGTGGCGAAGAGCAGGTAGAGGAACAGCAGCAGCCAACCTAGGCCGTCTCTCGGCGTGACGTCGGTGTTCTTGACGAACAGCTGAAGGAGCAGCTCGACGGTGCACAGCTGCCATACGAAGTACGGCGCCGCCGTCCACGTCCACGCCGACTGCGCTTCCTTCTTCCTCGTGCCGTGCTTGGCCCAGACCAGCAGAACGAGGTTCAGGCCGAGGAACACCGCGGTGAGGCTGCGCGACGGCAGCTCCGGGTCGGGAGACGACACCGTGTAAATCCCGTAGAGAATCGCCGACATCAGGAAGCACTGGAGGCCGCCGCGACGCTGTTGGAGCGAGGAGGCGCGGTAGAGCGTTTCCAGCCGAGCACTGCTGAAACTTGTCCGGAACAGGCTGGACGGCCTGCCCGATCTTAGGTAAGAGTCCTCGTTGCAGGTGTCCGGCCGTTGCGGCAGCACGCCGGTGTAACGGTCCTCGTCGTCCTCTAAACGCGCACCGTCCCCGCACATTTTTCCGCCTTTTTCTCGCTCTCTTTCTCTCTCTCTCTCTCTCGTTACACCCTACTGCATCTCCGCGTCCGCCTCCTCTACGCAGACGACCGGAGCTCGGTCACAGCTACCTCCTCCTCCTCCTCACAGGTGATGCACATGGAGCGCCGTGGTCGGAAGATGCACGAACGGAATTCCAGCTGATAGACGCGAGTCACCGCGGTCAGGGCGAGGTCGTCGCGGAGTCCCTCGAGTCGAACGTCGGGAACACGCCGGAGACACGTCCAGGATCACGAGCAGCCGCTCGAACGACTCGCGATCTTCCAGCACGCACTCGGACCGCCAGGGGGGCACTCACGCACTCACACTCACACGGGGTCAACCGGGACGGGCTTCTCTCTCTCTCTCTCTCGGGATGCAACACCTGCAGCCGCGCGCACGCGGGGTGTACTAACCGGGTTGCTACTACCGCCGGTGGAAGTTTCTCTTCTCTCCTCCGCGCGCGACCAACGGAGGTACTCCACCACCTCGCTCGTCTCGTCATCACCCTCTCGCCGCCGTCTCTCTCCCTGTCTGTTTCGCTCCCCTGCGCACCCTGTCCCGCCGCCCTCCTCTTCGCTCCCGTCCAGGCGTGCGCTTTGCGATCCTGACTGCCACACGACCCTCCAACTCGGGTCGATATCAACCACCACAAAGCCCAGCAGTAGATGCCAGGCTCTACCTTGCGCCTCCTTCACGGTTCTACCTACCTACCGATCGACCTAGCCGCACCTCGCGCAGACTTACCTTCCTGATTCCATCTCGAGTTCATCCCCCGAGCGAATAACGCGCTCTCGTTTCAAGCCAGGCGAGCGTTGGGCAAGTCCGCGGCCGCTCCTCTCGCTCGAACGAGAGCTCTGGAGTCAAGTATCAACCTGGACGTTTTTTTATCAGTCCGAATAATCGAAACCGCGGATGTGAAGGAACGTTCGCATGATCGCGCGTGATCGTACGATCCGAGAGAAGTGGAGAGAAGAGCGATGAGGTCGCGGTTGAAATGAATGGAAGCTTCGACTCAGCGAGCATCTCCGAGCGTTGTAATTGCACCGGACGCATCGAAAGTCGCGCCGCTTTCTCTCGACCGCAGATATCAGAGAGAAATATCGAATTAGGGACAGAATTTGCTCGAGGATCGCGAGTAATTAATATCTCTGCCGTGTGTCTCGAGAGGAATTTGCCTCTCGAGAGGCATTTGAGCGTCAATCGAGAGGAGCGCGTGCACGTTTCTCGCCGGAGACTTTGTCGCCAATTTTGTGAACTTGTGACTTCTTTTCGCGAAAGTTACATTGCGTATGTGTGTGTGTGTGCATACGACTTACACTCAATGTTCGGCAAAGGTAAGAGTAAATATGTAGTTATTCGATATCGGCTCGAGGAATGCGCGGTTCAGCGACTCGCTCCCAATCTTCCGTATTTGTTCTTAACAAGTCGCTCCTCTCCATCCGCCGAGTCACCGTTCCGCCTCTACCCTCCCTCTTCTTCTTACATAACAACTCATTTATTGCCGGAAAGGCGCTGTTCTTACCTCGAGGCGCGTATTATCGTCACAAGGTTTTATCGCCGGAAGCGCGAGTTTCCCCCGATCGATTCCCGAAGTCACGGCTCGTGAGACTTGTTCGTTCGTTACGATTGCGAAAGGAGAGAAATTGGCGAGCGGCCTGTCCGATTCGCAACTGATCGATAACGCGCGCGCGCCTAAACTCGTTGCAAGGAACGCGCTATGGATCGTTTCCCGATAGTCAATTGCGACGGTTGATAAATTGCGGGAAGGAAATCGGGCCTGCGTTCGATCGCGCGGCTCGGCCTCTCCCGGCGTAGAGCCGGAGCTCATCACGTGGGAGAAGCGTGCGGAGAGACAAAAGGATTCTTATTGCTCGCTGTTTACGCCACTGGGCGTGTCGGAGGGATGAAAATTGCAATCGCGGTGTATCGACCTCGCGTTGTAATCCGCGCGACAGCGCGAGAAATGTATCGTTTCTTCATTTATTGATAGCACTTTCGTAGGCGTTCGTGACAGCGTTATTTTATAAACGTCCGTTACTCGCTAATACATGAACATAATATAATATAAACGCAAACGACAATGGTAATATAAATATACGGGTTACAATAGTTGCCGTGATGGCGTGCGGAAGATTATACGGAATTGCGAGAGACGATTATACGCGTCCTTCGTCGTCACGTCGGATGATCAGTATCTCGCGTTTCTGCATAATGACTGCGCGTTTTTTCGCGGTAATTTCTTGTGAAATCTTACGAGAACGACCCTGGAGTCTCGGTCACTTGATATTGAAGCACTCGAGGACCTCGTTCGCGTTGACGTAGCCCACCTTGTTCATCTCTTCGACGATTTTCGGATCTTTAACCAAGGATTCGATCCATTTGTAATAGGGAATCTCGTCCCTCGTGCCGCCGTACTTCTTGGGCAGGTACTCGGGCGAGATGTGCTGGTGCAGGCTCTCGTAATTGTTCCCGTGGAAGTATATCCTGTTACGCATGTTGGTGTCGAGCAGCGGCTTGAAGACCGCGAAGATCGCGTCGAAGATCCACGACTGGTGCAGAATATGTATCGCGTGCGCCTTCATGGGGAACGAGGTCACCATCAGAGACAGCATCATGCTCGCCACCTGGAAGTTCATCCACGTCTCGCATCGTTACATCCTTAATACGTAGTGTCGCGTTAACCTTTACATCCCCCTTATCGCTCTTATCCGTGATCCATCGGATTTCAGCGAATATTCCCCGCGCGAGTAAGAATAGAGCCGAGAGAATGTAATGTGAAAATTGTGATTTTCACGTAAAAATTACGATATAATTCTCGTGCATCGTCTTCTCGCATTTTCAGTTTCCTTTCCTATCGATGTACGTTCACGACATACCTGAGGCGTGACGGTCCATGCGTGCGCCATAGTGATGTCCTTCAGATCGAAAATTACAATACCACCCATAATTTGCGCGATGGGCTCGAGGACGCCCAGTTCGAGCACGATGACTGTAGCCTTGAAAACGTCCTCGATGGGGTATTTGCCCGGGTTCCAGTTGCCCATGCGATAGATAATCATGCGTCTGCTGCACTGGGTCCTGTAGGGCGGCACCGTGATGACGTCGTCGTCGCCTATGTACTTCATCTCCTTCATGTTCATTTGCTGATGTATCTCCGGGTGTTCCTCTTTGAAGTTGTAGTAATTCATTATCTATCAAAAAATCCCTTGGAGAAATCAACTGGGTCGATCGGATCGCTCGACTCGAGCGTTACGAACATCGTATTCGGAATGAATAAGCAGCAAGTGTACAGCATTCAGCGCGAACCTACTACCGATGTGTGTTCATAGCGTGTAGCTATAATCTATTACGTGATTATTATAAAAACGATAAATCATATCGTTGATTATATCATAGAGCACGCCTGCATTAATTCGCTTGATTCATATGCAAATACGGGACTTCCGGGGATCGAATCATCTTAAAAGCGATATCTCACCGAGATGAGAATAATTTTATACAAACGAGGCGATTTTCAAAAGTCACGCCGCCTATATTCCCCTTGCTGCTTCAATTCGCCTCGCGAGCCGCGCAACTGACAGTCGCGGGGGTTCAGGACCATTAAAACTTCGCGAAATCTGTAATGCGTTTCCTATTGCCTAAAAAAAAACTTAGTGAAACAATTCCTTGACATATAATTAATTTATTAGAATTTTAATGATATTTAAATATATATTGTTAACGTGTAAAAATATATGTTAAGGAGTTATTTCGGTATGAACTTTCGGATATTAGGGAGTGCCTTATAAATTTCGTAATATCAGCTGTCTTGAGACTGAGCGCTGCAACTGTTAATTGCGTGGCTCGCGGGGCGAGTTAGAACGGCAAGGGGAAGTAAGGATACGTAATCCTCGAAAATCGCCTCGTTTATACAAATAATTCTGAGTACTGATATATATCGTATGTATATGCATGTGTATATTTATGTGTGTGTAATAGCACCAAATTAAAAAAAATTACAGTTTATATTATATTATAAAGAAAGAATTTGAAAAAGTGTATCTTTGTAACGTTAAAAGATATTTTCAGCGTTTTGTGATATTTTCTAAATAATTTAATTCCCATTTACGAGCGCTCTGTTCGCTTATATCCCTGGTCTTGTTGAAAAGCCGATTCGTTCACCTCGACACAATTATTATGCAACGACCAGGTTTACCTTGTGTTAAAAGATTTGCCAGTTGCTATATACTAAATTAATTAGAAAGTAACAGTAACCGATTTCGTCATTTGGCATTCCACAACTATCATTAATTTAAAAAATTTTTTCAACAATATAAACCAAGAAATATTTTCGATAAAATATCGCTTGTGATCGCATCACTGATTACGATATGAAATTACGTTATGCTTGGAAAAATAAAAATAAATCCAACGCTATCGTCTAATGATACCGTTCAATATCGAATTAGAAATAATAAAGTTAAAAGTTAACGTGTTAGTAAACTTGTAATTAAATAGATTTGAACGAGATGATTTACTACTGGAAAAGTCGCAGGCGAGATGGTGGATGAAAAACCTCAATGGAAAATCATCACTGCAGTTACAAATTATTAATGTCAACATGTACAACTCACCAGTCTGTGCGCTCTCTTCAGATTGAAATTCCTGGCGCGAAGGAATCTGATGAGAAAATCGTCGTCCATCCTATGTGGCAGACATTCGCCCCTCTCTGTCGAAAAACCCACAAACTCGTCAATGCCGAATAACACAAGAGTAGATGGCGCAAAAACGTTCTCCCTTAATTTGCGATACTCTACCGATTCTATATTTTCTCGTCATCCCGCATGGAAAAAAAGAATTAGCTCTTACAGCTAAAAATTAGCTCCCACTGGTGAAAATTAGCTGCACATATGATACAACTGAAATTTAGTTAATTTCTTTCGCCCCTACCATTTCTTGTGCCTGATTTTTAGCCCCCACATCTAGAAACTAAGTCTGGTAACTAAATTTCAGTTGTATTATGCGGACAGATAATTCCCTTTTTCCGTGCATACATGCCGATTCGAGAAATTTATTTTAAATCGCGTGTATCCTGAGAGAAGCTATTTTCGACGTGCCAAAGTTAAAGCGACTTCGGAAATTTACGTCGTCGTGATTATTAGATTTCCCTCGTGGTTCATTACGGAATTGACAAATAGATTTTTCAAATCACTTATTATTGCACCCACTCTTCGTATTTACCGAACTCGCGAACGATCGACGTCTCTTTTATTTCTGATTGATTTCAACTTGAATTACCATAAATCATGTCGCGAAACTCCTGAAGCGTCTGGCACTTGACTTCTTCGGTCTCCCCGAGCTCTCTTCTGGCGTATTCCATAATTTCCGGCGGGGGTTCACTCAGATCCAAGCTGACCTGCTCGTCCTGCACTCCGTCATCGTCCTTGAGCTCCGGCATGTTGTTGGAACCCTCGCGAAACTTTAGATTCTCCTCCTCTTCCTTAGCATCGGCAACATCAGCCTGCTGCTTGTCGAGGTTCCGCCGATCTTCCGATCCTGCCTCGATATCACCTTGGTGATCCTTCAGGGTCGTCTGGGCAACACTGTCGCTCGACTTCTCGTTCTCCTGCGGCATGATAACGCAGACGGATGGTGGCCTATTTCGTCTACGATTTACGATATATCCGGCTCGGCCCGTTTCGTTCGTCGCGGTAACACTGAATTCGTTTGCATTCAGTCGTGGATCGCGTCACCGCTAACACAGCAATCGGCCCGCTACCGGCTTTCAGTTTTATCAGATAACCTCCTTCTACTTACTGACACTTACTGACACTTATGCACACGATACGTATACTAGAAACGTGAGTGTGCACACCAGTGCGATTATAGCGTGTTGGCGCGAGTTCAGCAATTACGTAAATAATAATGTGATCAGCTCTTGAACTTGATCCGATTTAATCGAAAGGAAATAGCTGTGGTGAATGATTGTGATTCAAGAAAAAAGAACAAAAAATCACCCAAACTCAGTGCGAAATGCGTCCTTGGCTGAAGTTCGTCCGACTAAAAAGTGACGTCGATTCGTCACACGTCGCGGAGCATGTGGACCGAATCGATTGACCAAAGCGACGACGGCGAAAAATTTCAAGAGGTGCGTTTCAACCGGTTTAATCGTTCAAATAATTGCGCGGAAAAAATATGCCTCGTTCGCTTTTTATCTCGCAAGAATGCTCATTTCATCGTGCAAAACGCCATGAGCGCACATTACGAGGCATGAGGCGAGATGACGCATACGCTTGTTTATGCGCGGATTATTCATACAGACTCGGCTGTAGAGATAATTTATTTCAAATGCAACTTCTGCTACGTTTAATATATAATTGCTGCTGCACATAATTGCAGAAACCGGTCGCGAATGTTCTAATGTTGTTAATATTAATATTAATATTAATATTTGCTAGATTGCAGGATACACGTGCGTCGTCAAATTCAGTCTGACGCGAAACATCTCTCGCTTTTCGAAGCTACGCTGCTTCACATCTTTTCCTTCGAGATGTTCGTAAAAAGAGGCATTACGTAATGGACACGATGCTGCACGCCGGCGATGATGATTCGCATTATCCAACTATAGAATATGAAAATAACACGTGTCGATTCCTATCCTCTCAATCGAGACTATCGCGGAGACTTTTCCTCCGTCTTCTTCGAAGAAGTTTCCACCGACGGTGGCGGACAACAATAGACCGTGTTTCACGATGGTGGTCAACACACAAAAATTACTGCGTCGTGCACACGCGTAACACAATCAACAGCACGAGCGCGTGACACCATTCCCAACTAAATTGCAACACGCGGCACTCGCAGGAGAATTACGGATCGTCGTTCGCGCACGCGAAGAGAACGATTCGGTGTTTCACAATCGCGTCGGGAAATTTACAATCCTGTTTTCCCACTTGGGAAATATTTCTCGAAAAAGCGCGACGCACACAACGCGAACAACGGTAATCGTCAGCCGAACGAAGAGCGCATTCGAGAGTGGACGTGCACGCTTTTCAAGCGCCGTGAATGCAATCCGACGTTCGTTCGCCGATACCGATCGTAGTAATGATGCAACTAACGCACGGTTCACCTTGCTGAATCTGCACGAGGCTTACTTTACGCTTACCTCACCTCGCCGTTGGGAACCTTTTCGCAGTGTCGGATCAGTTCGACATTTCACATGGCTGTTAGCGCGTTTCTCGCGCGAGCGAATCTTGTTACCATAGTCGACGAGGTGAACGATTTCAAGCCGCGAATGGTCGTTTGATCGATCGTCATCCGATTGATCGTGGATTAATTAGTCGACAAAAATGCGCTCAATCAACTCAACTTGCCCTTCTTGGATTTGCTCTCGTTACATTCCCGTCATATATTATTCTGTAGTTCCTCGCGTGTGCAATGTTTTGCGCAACGTGCGCTCAACTGTCGTACAAATCGCCTTGCTTCGCTGGATCGTGAGTAAATATGATCACCTTCATATTATCATGACGCTGATCATATTTGATCACATCGCGTAAAATAAAAACTTTGTTTTCAACGGATCGTAATTCTTTCTCCTGTGATAACGTAATGAATAATACACGATGAATGAATAAAAAGTAGTCCAGCGAAGGTTTACCGGAACGCGCGATGTGAAAATTATCCTTTTAGAATGTATAAGCGTAATTGTTGGTCTGAAACGCGAACATCTCGCGAAAGCAACAAATTGGCCTTAAACGTGTGTGTGTGTGTATGTGTTATTCGGCCGGAAGAAAACGGATGCGGCGTAACTTCTGACCGTCGATACAAACCGCACATGGGAAATGACTGGAGGCGTGTTGCGAAATGTGTCAGGGTCACCCTGTTGCATCTACAGTCCGGCGCTTTCACCAACGTTACGTACTTACGATAACGCGATCTTATGCACGCGCTCTGGTGAGCGTTCGCACGGACAAAGACCCGTTCTTCATCACGTGGATCAATAGATCGATTGACTCGCGATTATCGCGCGCATGGCGAGTCCCGCGGAAAATGGACGGCGGGTAAAACGGATAAAACGGGATCGACGGAGAGAGTTTATGTAATCCGGCCCTAAGAGTCGACCGAATGATCCGTGGATAGAAAAGGCCAGCTGGCATGGGATGCAAGCTGTGTGTGTGTGTGTGCGCGCGCGCGCGTCTGCAAGTATTTATGTGTCGCAATCTGCGGGACAATCTATGCGCAAATCTTCGGAAAAATTGCGTGGGATCCGTTCGCGTGAACACGTTATCATTTGCAACACGGGGTGCACGCGATAGATTACAATAATTCGAACCTGTCAATGCGCGATGTGATGGTGACGTAATCTAAATACACCTTATCAGCGTTCCCGGTGTCGCTTTTGGACGGTGTTTCGCCATTAAGCATTTCCGCAATAATAACACATTTCTCACGTTTATGTCAAAGTACGCGCTGCACTTATCAGCGATTGCTTGTCGAGTTTGCGCGGGGTTCGACGAAATTGTTTGTTCTTGCGTCACTATTCCCTTTATTACATGCACGCTATCGTCGAGTCTCGTTCACGAAACATCAAAGAATGCACATTGTAGCGGATTGAAAGTGGCGCGGCGGCCGTAACCAACGTTGCGACACATACCTAATCTAAGAAATATTGCGTTACAGACCCGACCGCACTTTTTTCTTTAGAAAGTTTTTACTTTTCGACACTTTAACATTTACACTTGCAAGCCCACGATTATTGCTTCCTAATTTCTTGCGGAATCGCAATGGCCGGGAGTAAAACTGAATGGAAATGCGCCGAGGAAAGAAGCGACGATTGGTTTGAAAACGCCGTTTGTGTATGTGTGTGTGTAAAAAATTACTTTGCGTTTGTGAAAGATGCTTGAAAACTCATCGGTCGGTCTCTGGAAGCGCGATAAATCACGGTATAAATGAGTTCCCTTTGCGAAACGCGTTAACTCATCCGTCGTAACGAAGGTCCTTGCATCAATCTTCGTCCTTCGCGAAGGTAACGGCCAAAACGCGTTCTCTCTTCCTTTCTCTCAACCTTGAAAAGCATTCTCGATCGGGACGCGAAGTGGCGCCTGCCAATGTGCAATTGCACGCAGACACGTGCAAAGTGTGTTCGGCCTCACGGCGGCATTTACCGGCGGCGTTGTCACGGAAACGCGGATTTTTCACTTTCCACGTGCTCTTTCTCACCGACCGTACGTCTAAACTTTCTAACGGTTTTTGATACGAGCCTTGTCGTTTATTCAAAATAGCGAGTTCGTTCAATTAGTCAAACAGTGCTTATCTCGATAGAGGCTCATTATTAGAAAGTCGAGACGATAAAAATACCGGCACGCTATCGCCGTATATTATTACGCTGTGTTGTTCTCGTTTCAACGATTGCGCGCGGTTTTATTACTTGAACTCTCTCGAAAGTGACATCGTTCATCGTCCCCTTCGGATTTCATCAAACGAAACGTCATAGAGACGGAGGTACGGTTTCTTCAACCCTCAAACATGTTGCTGACAGAACCGACGGTGATTTTTTTTATCGTGTCTAAGCGTTTCCGCGTGTCCAATGTTTGTCTGATCTTCGGCGCGGTGATAATTAATCGCGCATCACCGATCCGATTCAATCTTCTCTCTTCGATGTGAGATTCTTCGGTATTTAGGCGCGTCCAGACGAGGCGTGTCTGTGGAATTGGGATGTCTGCGCGTTTGCTGCCGCGTGTTTACACGCAGAGGTGTGTAAACCATCGCCTCCGCCTGGATTGATTTCCGCGCATAGCGCATAAACTCGTTCTCTTTATTATCCTCGAGCAGCGGAACTTTAGCGAGCCCGTTAAAATAAATAGCAGCATCGTCGGTTCTTTGCGTCGAAGTACGTGTTGGCGCGCGACGGAATTCCTCTACGTCGAACGTTGTCCGCAGAACTCGGCTCTGATATGTAAGAACCGATTGATTCGACACGTTCAGCACTTTATCTTCTTTCGTATTTCTTTCCCCCTTCTGCGCATAGCGTCGTGTGCGAGTATTGAGACCTTGAGACGAGGCCAACCTGCTGAATGCGACAAATACGACCACGTCGGGAAAAAGGAAGCGCGACACCGTGTTTGTGCGAATTTTTAATTCTTTATCAACAAAGCTCGTGAGTATTGTTTGCTAAATACAAAGAGTTACCCACATCAGCACCACGACACTATCGGGCGCTTTGTCGACAAAATTTTCAAGACTGGCTTTGCGAAACAACAAGAATAAACGGAAAGAACGAGGAAGAATGCATTGAATTGAAAAGGAAAGAAATATTTTTTCGCAAAAGTGCGCCGTCAACGGCCTACGTCGATCAGTCCCGAAAATTTCAGTCATGCCCGTAGTCCGGGTTGCTCGGCAACTTCTCTTCTTCGAATCGTCCAAGACGAACGAAAGAAAGGATCGCTAAAGTCGCAATTAATCCGCGCGTCAGCGACGATTCGCGGTGCGAAGGACGGCGGATTTGGCCTCTCGGTGTAATTTAACGATTGACAACTCACCGGCTGACCGGTGGAATGCTACGTGGATGAACACGAACCTCGCGGTACAGCGATCCTGTGTGTACTAACCGATGCCTCGGTCACAGAGCCGACTTCTTCCGCGTCTACGATTCCGGCGGCGAGAAAGTTGCACGACCGCCGCCACCACAATCGCCTTTCCACCGAGAGCGAGTTTAGGAATCGGTCTTCGTCCTCCTCCTCCTCCTCGCGCTTCCACGCTCGGCCGATGCAGCTTCTT